TGATTCTTCCACTGATCCCCTTTCCTTGGTCAGGAACAAATCTACTATTAATTTCCTTTAATTACAATGTTTCTAACTCCTTGGGGATCAACACATATCCTCCTATATAATAAAAGCATAGTATGCAAATTGTCCCCTCCACCAGAAGTTGGTCTGGGAGTTCAACCAGGGGGCGGGGCCGGCCGGAAGGGAGGGAGGGAGGCTCCAGCCAGCAGCCAGCAGCCGCTAGGGGCCCTATCAGTGCATGAATTTCATGCACTGAGCCTCTAGTAACATTATAACCTTTTCCCTATGCTCCCTCAACCCAAATTGCAAGTGATGGACAGTGAAACTCAGAAAGTTTGTAAGACTGGCCTAGTGTCATCTAGAAAGTTTGAAAGAGACAATTAGGAGAGGGCCTGAGTCTCCCTCCCTATTATGAAGATAAAAATGGTTCTCTATGCTCCTCTTCTCCTCACTGATTCCAAGAGCTCTGGGATCTAGGGGAAAGATTCCAGCCACATCAGGATTCTCATGAACTGTGGGCTCTGAGATCCTGCCCACTGATACCTCAGCTTTCAGTCTGCTGCTTCTCTCCTGGGCCCTTTGAAAGAGCTACCTCCTTCATCTCAGTGGCTCCTATAACTGAGAAGCTGGATGGAAAAAGAGAAGTTGAAGATTCCTTCCAGGAGACCCATTCTAATCTTCGAGATACATTCGTCCCAGAGGTATAAAGATGTAGAAGGCAGGGTGGTGGCTAAAGTAATTCAGAGTAGGAGCAGGCCCCTCTATCTCAATCCCAGACCAGGAATCCTCCTTCAGGATGGTGGACTTATCTAAAAGGCTTGGTAATCAAGGCCAGGAGTCATGTGTCTGAATCCTAGGTGCTTTGCCCAATCTAATATAGCTGTGGAATGTGGGTCTTCCCCATCCAATTCATTTCAGAGCAGAGACAAAAACTGTTCCTCCCATTATTATCCTGACTATTCCCAATCGGACTAGACTCTGGAGATTGGGCCAACTGAAGCAGAAGTGCAAGCTCCCCGATTGTGGGGTGATCTCTGAGCTTTCACTGCCCTGACCTCACTTCTTAAGTAAGAACAAGAGGGAATATCAGGAACAGGAAACACCAGCCTTCTTCCAGACTCATTCCCAGTCCTCCTCCAGCCCCCTTGGTCTCCTCACCACCTCTTAAACCCGAGTTTAGTCGCACTGCTTTCCTGCTTAGGGTGAGCCTCTGTACTTATGTAATTCCTAACACCAGTCCATCAGTAAACATCTACTGAAGGTAGGGGAATAGGAAAATGCTGGTAGAAAGGTACAGACTTTCAGCTACAAGATGAGTAAGTTCTGAGAATGTAAGACATGGTACTACAGCTAATAACACTGTATTGTATAACTGAAATTTGCTAAGAAAATAGAACTTGAATGTTCTCACCAAAACCAAAAAAAATTATAAATATTATATATCTGAGGTGACAGATAGATTAATTAACTAGATGACGGTAATTCCTTTAATAATGTATACATTTATCGAATACTAGATATACACTTTAAATATCTTATTATTTTATGTCAAGTACTAGAGGCCCGGTGCACAAAAATTTGTGCACTCAGGGGGGTCCCTCAGCCCGGCCTATGCCCTCTTGCAGTCTGGGACCCCTCGGAGGATGTCCACCTGCTGGCTTAGGCCCGCTCTCTGGGGGATCGGGCCCAAGCTGGCAATCAGACATCCCTCTGGCAGCCCGGCAGCCCTCGGGGGATGTCCACTTGCCAGCGGGGAGCAGGTCTAAACTGCTGTCGGACATCCTTAGCGCTGCTGAGGAGGCGGGAGAGACTCCCACCACCACCGCTGTACTGGCAGCCGTCAGCCTGGCTTGTGGCTGAGCAAAGCTCCCCCTATGGGAGCACACTGACCACCAGGGGGCAGCTCCTGCATTGAGCATCTGCCCCCTGGTGGTCAGGGGGGGTCATAGTGACCAGTCATTC